TGGTCAGGCTCGCTGACTTGGTTGATGCATATCATCGATCCCAATTGCGTGGATCGATGCTCGTAATATTAATCACTGGATTGTCTGGTCCAGACTCGATTATTTACAGACCGCCGTCATATAGCTGGAATATTGCTGAGTGCGGCGTTAAACATCAAACCAACCAACCAACCAAATCAATAGGTGGGCGGGCAGTGGCTCAGTGGTCTGTTGAAGGCCCCGCAATTAGCTGAGCAGAGTTGTGTGGACTGCTCGTGCAAAGAGACGCTGGTGGTGTTTTCCAATGCTGGAACGAGTCCAAATTTACCACCCGGGTACCAAATCCCCTATTACCCTACCCCGCTCTAGGTCTCAAGAGAAGGGTACTAAATGTCCGAATGGGAAGAATTTGACCGTAGCCCTGGCAACATTTGTTTAGATACACATATTAAACGATCTGGTCATGCATACACTGAAGTTGACTGAAGCTTTATCTTTATTCAATCATATGACAGTCAGAAGAAATGTGTGCATAGTCAGAACGAAATGCCAGCATTAGAGACTTGTAGCGTAACCATGGAGTTGTAAATATCTTTTTTTCATTAAACAATATATAACGTGACTAACCATGGGTGAGGTGAGGTGAATTTGGGTTTAACGTCGCGTCCAAGATTATTGCACTTATATAGCGACGTGTATGCACGTGTATGTGTGTGTGTGGCTGCTTGTACTAGTCCGGACTGATGCCGATTTATAGTGCTAGCTCACTGAGATACCATGCCGCAGTTTAACATGAATACCCCACTCAGACACAGTATACTGACTCCGAGCCGACCAGTCCTTGTTTTAGCCCGTTAATGCCGATCGCCAGACAGGGTAACAACAAGTACAATCTTTTAACGTCTTTTTGTATGACGCGGCCCGGGATCGAACCCTGGACCTTCCGCTCTCCGGGCGGACGCTCTACCACAAGACCACGGAGGCGGTCAACTAACCATGGGTCCGGGTAGCCCTGTTGGTACCCGGGTCCTACTAAGTACCCACCCGACCCAAGTACCCGAGTTACCCTCCCAGCACTGGACTGTTTTCGAATTCCAGATTTGCCCCACCTACGATTCTTGGTTTGTCAGCACCATACCCCTGCTTGTGGGTCTAAACCTGCATCAATTCCGGCTTTCCTCCAACATTAGGCTCAGTGACACGCCGTGATATAATATAATCACTGTTTAAAGCAGCGTTAAACTCACTCACTCACTCAACCGTAATCCCAAAAATCAAATGAATAAGAATATATCTTTCATTGGACATACTTCACAGGCAGACGAGTGGATGTTGTTCAACGAAAGAGTCCATGTCTGTATCGCTGTGACCTGGAACCATCCGTGGTTCGATCCCCCGCCGCGTCATACCAAAAAACGTTAAAGATGTTGTTTTTTGTTACCCTGCCTGGCGCTTGGCGATAAGGGGCTAAAACAAGGACTGGCAAACTCGGAGTCAGTATGCTGTGTCTGTGTGCAGTATACATTTTCAACTGCAGCATGGTCTCTCAGTGGGCCGGGCTGGTACAAACAAACACACACTCACACACGTATACATAACGATCGTGCAACGATTTTGAACGCGTCAGTTCCATTTCACCTCACCTCGCCTCGCCTCGCCTCGCCTCGCCTCACCTCACCTCACCTCACCTCGCCTCGCCTCGCCACGCCACACCACACCACACCACACCAAAGAGAATCGTGAGCTTTATCACGGCGGGGAACACCTGAAATGGGCTTCACACATCGTGCCGTTAAAGGGAATCGAACCCGGCTCTTCGGCGTGACGAGCGAACGCTTTAACCACTAGGCTACCCTATAGCCCCTCAATTGTGAATAGCCTCATACTACCTTCATAGGTAAAAGGCCCTACTCTGTCTGCTGGAAGTCTAAGACAGAGCCAAAGATGTTACAATATTACGTTTTAGAAGTTGTGTGTGACAAAAAGAGTTCGGCGTATGTTTTGTTCGAAGTCCCTCGTTATTTAATAACCCGCCGGATGTCCCGATGTTCGTGCTATCAACCACATGGATTGCCCATACATGCCCCCATGATTATTGCGGCATTAAACAACACGTGTTCCAGGCAGACGTAGAAAATTAGCATCAGTTTGAACTAGTCCTAAACACCTTCACAACCCATGAGTGAGTGAGCGAGTGGGTGAGTGAGTGAGTGAGTGTGTGAGTGAGTGAGTGAGTGAGTGAGTGAGTGAGTGAGTGAGTGAGTGAGTGAGTGAGTGAGTGACTGAGTGAGTGAGTGAGTGAGTGAGTGAGTGAGTGAGTGAGTGAGTGAGTGAGTGAGTTTACGGCGGCGCACACCAAAAAGGGTCTTCCGGCACATACTACCTATGTAGGGATTCGAACCCCGGTTTTGACACGACGAGCTTTAAGGCTTTAACCGCTTGGCTACCTTACAACATCACCGTGTGAAAGCTCCAGGGAACTATATATACTGAAAGGGGGCTCCTACAACTGTTTTCATGACCTACTACAGTCGTGTATTAACACTGAACATGCACATTTACATGCCATGCCTGATTATTTATGATACCATGCAATAATATATTTTGGTCGTAAAGGTCAACTTAATGGATCGGGTGCTCAGGCTCGGAGATGGCGTGTCAACGTACCCTGACGGCGTGGACCGTTGCTCATAATATCAATCACTGAATTGAGTGTGGAGTAACACAAAGAACACACACGTCCGAAAACGCACGCACACACGCATGCACACACGCACGCACACATAATCACGCCCAAGAAAACACTCACTCATAAAAATAAACCTGATTGACAAGAATATTCCATAACCTGATGTAATAATGCAGACCACCAAACGGCGTTGCGCACCACGGTTACAGTTCGCATTTAATATCAGTAGTTAGGGAAGCACAGTCACGAGGAGTAAGACAACTAAGATCATAGCTGTACCAAACTGCCCAGATACATAATGACGACATTTGCTATCCATGTTGTCGATCGCGGGCGTGTCATTCCGTCTTGGATGTTAGATCGTCCGTGTCATTCCGTGCAGTCATCCACATTCCCGTGGGACCACCCGATTCACAACCCAGCGTGAACCCCGATACACTTTCCAACATTAAACCCGATTCACATCCCCTGGTCCACATTCCAATGGTACCACCCAATTCACACTCACGTGGTACCACGTAATTCACATTCACGTAGTACCACCCAATTCACATTCACGTGGTACCACCCAATTCACACTCACGTGGTACCACGTAATTCACATTCACGTAGTACCACCCAATTCACATTCACTTGGTACCACCCAATTCACACTCACGTGGTACCACGTAATTCACACTCACGTGGTACCACCCAATTCACATTAATGTGGTACCACCCAATTCACACTCACGTGTGCCACCTAATTCACGGTGGCGGTCGGGTAGCCTAGTGGCTAAAGCGTTCGTTCGTCATGTCGAAGAACCGGGTTCGATTCTCGACATGGGTACAATGTGTGAAGCCCATTCATGGTGTCCCCCGCCGTGATATTGCTGGAATATTGCTTAAATACCTAGCTTTTTCTAGTACAAGGGATAACGAAGTATAAAATGGTTTCAGTAGAGGGTTGTTTTAAAAAAATATTTACCACAAACGCTTTCCAGGCTAAATTTAAAGTTACAAATTCTGATATTTTTTTTGTAATTTGTGTACAATAGCTCATCTTTGGGAATGTGAAATTGTTGATTCAATTTGGGCAAATAATTTTAAAATGGATTTCTGAAGGATGCGGGCATGTTTTTGTTTTTTTTAAATGTTGTCACTGATTCTGTCTTTGATTTATTTCTCTTATTGGGTAAACTGTATATCTAAAATGTAAATGGAAGAAAGACCATCCTCACATAAATCATTTTAATAATTGAGTGTTAAAATTAAGATTTTTCAGATTTTAATTTTTTTAAATTAAGAGTTTTATGCCAAGTTGGCCAAGTATTATTCATTGCTTGAACATTAACAATATTTGTTAATAAGTTTGTTTCACAGTACGTCCTAAAAACAAGCATAAAAAGTATTAGTATGCTAGTGAAAGTTTTTTTTTTCTTTTTACTTGTCTTTTGTGTTGTATAAAAAACCCAAAATACTGTATTTATTTTTTTTTAAATTTTGTAGATGGGACTCCTTCTACCCTGTTTGAAATAAAAATATATTAATTAAAAAGACTGAAACAAATGATTCCATTTTATATAACATTTTCTTGTATTAATAAGCTTAGTTGTGTTTACGTTCTCATTTATTCACACGAAGTACCCTTATGATTAGCATCCACATGTATCGTTTTCATCTAGATTCAACTTAAATCCATCCATTTTGTTATCACGAATGGGTGTCTCTTAAAGAGTTTAATTGATTACATTTGCATAAATTATGCTAATTGAGTGGTAATACTTGGAAACTAGAACATATGTTATGTAATATGTCTGACAAGTATCCCCAATAAGATTAAATAACTAACTAAAGAAATCAATTTCATTTGTGACATGACACATCTAGGTCAGGAGTCAAGTCCATGCACACAGATCAAAAAGACATCTCACAAATATATTTAATTTTCAATTTAAAACTACAGTGGTTCCACAGTATACACCGTCTTGTTTATAAACATCGAATAACTTTCATAAACTTGGGATTATGCAAATGAAATCCAGCATAAAGTAGTTCAGACGGAAGCGTTTCCTTATAAGAATAAAATTATAAACAAGCCTTCCCTTTACATCCAACAGACGCCTACAATTTCATACGTACTTAGTCGTGAAGAATATAGCATTTAGCAGATACCCACAATTAGTTCAACCTTGTGCCCAAAAATAGAAATTCCCCGGTCGCATTCGACTGGCCATTGTTTGGCAAGTCCAATTCTCAGCGTAGAGCTACCAGAGGTAGGTGGGACATCTAATATTTATTTATGACGAATTATCATTAACATAATTTATTAACATGCACATGTGCTTAGGTGCATTGTCAGTCGGCGTATTTCTAGCGATGGCATTTATTTAGACGACATCGTTACCTTACCCGATTCATCTTTATTTCGCAGTTTGTCGGAAATTTTGGCAAATTTCGCTGAGGAATTTCGATTATTTGGTGAGTTGTATAAATTTTAATATCTGGCACATGTACATAAGATGGTGTAGTATTATCATAATTTATTGTGTGCGGTATTTCAACATGCTTCCTTCCGTCACATGATGACCCTTTTGGCTTGTCCGAGACAAGAAGAATACGTTTTGTCTGTGGATCCATCTTTTCGAATTTACCAGTGTGGTATACAGACAATATACACCGGCTACGTACGCATATATCACTGTTGATTGACAACTTGTTTATTTCTGACTGCGGCTAGCCGGCCATGTGCTTTTATCAATCTGACAGCAGTTTGTTTACAAGTATTATCATAATTTATTGTTAATTATTATGAAAAGTGCATCTAAATTGCAATTAGGCCATGGGATAGTAATACATTTAAGATAAATTTAAGTGACTTCGACTTGATTTTAAGTATTTTTTGTTTAATTGAAAGTTTATGTTTTTATTTTTGTTAAGATGTAACTAATTTAGTAGTTTGAAATTTGTTTGAATTTTGTGTTAACATAAAAGAGAAGTTTGAAATAAAAACTAAAAACAGACTATATTCAGACTGAATGATTGATATTATCATGAATTTTATGGATGTGATATTTTATTTGTTTCAGACAGATCTAAATAAATATATTTATTTGCAGTTCAAATGTTTAGAAGACTTTACAAGCTAAATACAGTATCGCCCTGAAAAAATGAAAATAATACAGCTTTTAAATTTTGTTTTGTTTTGAACAATCATGCACATCACAATTGTTCATTTAAAAAAAAAAAGCTGTTTATATTCCACTTGACTATGAAATTGGTATTGTGAACATGCATACAATACAATGGCAAGAAAGTAAAGGTTTTGTTAAGCATTGATAGAAAAATTAGTTTTATTGACCAAAATAACCCTTAATCTATAATTTGTTGTTCCTTGATTTCACGGAGAGACAAAAGGTGTCCTAATGGGGATATCAGTTGCCTGTCTTGCAGATCTGAGTACAACGTCCCTCTTGGGTACTGTTTGTGAAGCCTATTCTCAGCAGCCCCTGTTGGGATAGAGCTAGAATATTGCTACAAGCAGATAACCACAATTGCCCACTGACAGAAAATCCCAGCGATTGTTAGGAGCAATACAATATGATTACTCATAACTTGTCATAAGCCTAAAACAAGACTGTGTGTATCTGGGACAATATCTCTTCATGTGATAGGGATTTTGTCAATTTTTCCCTGTTTATTTTAATTTTTGCCAAAGGATGAAATACATTTTGTTTTAATTGAAAATGATTCATCAGTCATGTCAATTATCTTGTCTTAATCATTCAAACCTTAAATACAATTTGTATGCAAACTTATTATTATCACAATGTTGCAGTCTGTGCAAAAAAAAGAAAAAAAAAGGGGCGGTCGGGTAGCCTAGTGGTTAAAGCGTTCGCTCATCACGCCGAAGACCCAGGTTCGATTCCCGACATGGGTACAATGTGTGAAGCCCATTTCTGGGCCATACTCACTCACTCACTGTGCAAAAAACATATGAGTGAACTAGCCTGAACATGGCTCTTAACAGCATTTTCATTAGATTTGAGTGTTATGATATGGACGATTATAAGCTGAGCTTTCTTGGCCGAACAGAATTTTTCTGGACTGGGGCTTCGGACTAGCGGCTATAAATGCACACTGCTGTTGAAATTATTCAATAATGAAATGAGGGGTGGTGGGGTAGCCTAGTAGTAAAGCGGTTGCTCGTCAAGTCGAAAGCGAAAGTCTGTGTTCGATTTCCCCCCCCCCCCATTTCTGCTATCCCCAACCATGATATTGGTGGAGTATTCCCAATAGCAGCATGAAACCTTTAGGGCTGGGACGAGTCCAAATTTCCTACCCGGGTACGTGCCCCCTTCTTACCCTACCCTACCCAGGTTCCCACTGTAGGTCTCAGGAGATGTCCCTGGCAAAACGTATTTAGATACATGTATTAAACAATCTGGTCATGCATACACTGAAGTTGACTTAAGTTATATGTTTATTCAACCATATGAAAAGTCATATGGGTGCATAGTCAGAAAGAAAAGCGAACATTAATGACTTGTAGTGTAACCATAGAGTTCCAGATAATTTTAGTCATTAGACAATATATCACGTGACGAACCACGGATCCGGGTAGTCTTGTGGGTACCCGGGTCCTACTCAGTACCCACCTGACCCGGATACCCGAGTTACCCGTCCCAGCCCTAGAAACCTCACTCCCTCTCTCACTGGTGGAATGTTTATGACAAACAATTCAGCCTACCAGCCCAAGGTTGTCTTTTGGCACCATTTCCATAACGTTTAGTCGGAACTACATGTATCATTGTTTCTGGTCTCCAGTCACTTTGGACCCGTGAAGATTCCGGGGTAGAATAGGTCTTCAGCAACCCATACTGGCCGTAAAAGGTGACTATGCTTGTCGTAAAAGGCGACTAACGGGATCGGGTGGTCAGGCTCGCTGACTTGGTTGATGCATAGCATCGATCCCAATTGTGTGGATGGATGCTCATGATATTAATCACTGGATTGTCTGGTCCAGACTCGATTATTTACAGACCGCCGTCATATAGCTGGAATATTGCTGAGTGCGGCATAAAACAACAAACCAACCAACCCAGTCACTTTGACTTGAGCGACTAGTTGCTAAAGTTGCACGTTTCTGATGTACCATGATACTTGACTTACCATATGGTACATGATACAGTAGGCATGTACCTTCGGGTGATGCATAGGTTACATGTTTCTGATACGATACAGATCGAGACCTCACTTCACTTGGTATTTTAAGATATAGATTTGAATACAAGGCATACAAGTAAGGTATACAATAGTCATTGAATGGCATTTTGAAGTGATACACGTTAGGAGAATTTATGGATGTCAACTTCTTTATTATGAGGAACACAACGTTTCGGAGTATATACTTACTCCTTCATCAGGTATACAATACAATAGTCTCACAAAGAAAAAAGAAATTTATTTCAAGTACAAGCTGAAAAAATCTGTAAAAAGTGCGAAAAAGGACTATTACGATCGAACATATGATCCCCGAATGAGAGGAACATAGTTCCACCGACCCTTGTTTACAGTACGTATCTCTGTATATTACAGTATCCTTGATGAATGTGTACAGGAATATTTACAAGGACAATTTTCATTCATTACCAGGCCTCAAAGTGTAAATTTTTACCAAGTAGCCATATGGCTACAGTATTTTGTCCTGGTAACCAGTGGGAGAAAGAAGAAGTCAAGACAGTATTGTAGATAGCCAAAAGCATTTGAAATGATCTTTTATCAATAACTATTATAACATGTACAAGTCATTGCACTAGTCTTGGAATTGTATATTAGTGGAAACGGTACTTGATTTTTGTTATTTGTGACTTGAACAATGATGCAATGTATGTTACTAGATTATGTAGGTATATCCTTGCTTATCCAATGAGCTTTGTCAACTGAAATATAATACTAATTACATTAATATTTATGTACTTCAGTTCGTTGTCAACTTTAGGAGGAATTATTCGCAAGTACAATTTTTAGCAGACGTGTTTTCCAAGATCAGCTGTTATTTATTTTTGGGTCTACATATGTGTAGCAATAGAATTTAGTCGCCACAAGATATATCTCAAGGTAGTCATTGGGCTACCTCTGAATTTTAGAAAGTAGACATATTGAAAGTTAGGTCCCATTGGCGACGGTTTTAGTCGCAACTTTGAGGCCTGATTGCTGGTACTTAATCATGTCCCAGTTGTTGGTGTTCAGGAAATCCTCAAACCTTCATTTGATGAGATCAGTGCTTCAGGTATTCAGAGTTTAATATAAGTCAGGTCTAGTGATATTTGGGGTTCCCCTTTCAAGGTTTTAAAATTAACAGAAGTGTGCTAGATTGCGATTAGTAAACTTGAAAAAGGACATGTCACGTTTCCTGTGGACAACCAGTTTTACTGAATGGTTACTCTGTAGCAGAGAAGTATCTTCACTAAAATGAGTTTTTACATAATCTGGCCATTTCAATGTAACAACAGTCCCACATTTACAGATAATTAAATGTGCATCTTGTCAAATTTAGCAGGTGCCCTCTATGGACAGGTCACACAAATTGGCTTTGTTGCACAGATTAGAGCTGACACCTGTTTTAATTAGCAGGGGTTACACTTGTAGTGTGATGTATATGGTTTTGAACAGGTGTGTGTACAGGTGTACATGTAATGATGTCGCAGCGTTATACCTTCTGTCACATTACGGGCTATATATTTATTTATGTTTTATGTTTTATTCTGATTTTACTCCAAAGTGCACAACTTTGAACTGACATGCCCAAGTGAACAAATTAAATGCTGTTCAAAGCAGTATAAATTTTTAATTTGAAGTTTACACGATATACAACTTTTACATTGGACGAGAGGTCAGTCACATGACTGCGAAATTGCCGTTCTTAAGTGTATGAACGACAGAATTTGACGTTCATACGTTTTTCACGAGACCATGTTCTTGAAATGACGTAAACACTGACGGACTACTTCCACATTCCGACGTTCATACAGTTTGGTCCTCACTCTATGAAGGTTCATACTCCAATGAACTCACACAAAGTGAAGGTCAATTCTTAAATGAACTCACTATTTAAAGCTTTGTCACATGACTTATCGTTGTCCAAAGTATGATTGACCTGGTTTTGTTATTGACATTATCATTGAGTAAATGACAAATTCAACTTTATTCATACTTTTGCTGAATACATCTTCAAAATAGAATATTGCCAAGTATTTGAAAGGCATTTAGAAGTGATACACATAAGGAAGAGAATTTATGGATGTCAACTTCTTTATTATGAGGAACACAACGTTTTGGTGTATATGCTTACTCCTTCATCAGGTGGATGAATGCTATGAGGCAGAGAGCATATATATATGTACATGGAACCAACTGACTAACTTTGGGGAACTTTCTGTTGTTTTTATCACTAGATTACCACCATGTCAAACTATTGA